TCCTTCCTTCCCCCCTCCATCTCTCATCCGTGGTATCTCCCCATGTGCGTGTATGCAGGAGGGACCTTCGTCTACGTATGCGGTCCCTTCCCTCCGTCTCACATGTGTGATGTATGATGGGATGTCGTAACAGTCCAGGTCAGGTCAGGACTTATCTCCAAGTCTTCCGCTGTGCTATTAAATGCCATTGTTCATGTATCGGGATGTACACYGTCTGTTGATATTACGTTAGCAATCCACTGTCCATTCAGTCCTTTCATCACAATGCGGATCCTTGGCTGAACTCTCAGTGCCCGACTGGGCATGTAACAATTGTGAGGTCCCCGGCCTCGATTGATGTTATTTGGAATGATTACTGAAGTGTTGTAAAAAAAAAAAAAAAAAAAAAAAAAATCATTGAAGAAAAAAAAAATAAAAAACATCCGAGATGCAAGAAAAATTCAGGAGCTGTCAGGGAAAGGGTTTCGACACCACGGGAATAGCCACACCACTCTCGAAATGTGCAAAATGAGAATGAACTTCGTGCTAGACCATGGCCGGATGCACGCGCCACATTTTGTCTTTTTCACATTTTGAGGGCATACTCACAGGGGGACCTATAATCCCAAAATCCCAAAAAAAAAAGGGGAAAAGGCCGGATCTACCAAATTCGCAAATGTACTATTCCAGTGCCCATTTGTCAGCGGCCTGCTGGGAAGCCGCAGGGCAAGGGATTTTGGGGTCACCTCTGGAGGTGACCGCAAATTCCCTTTTTTTTTTTTGCATTTTCTTCAAAAATTGGCAAAAAATCGTTCACAAAAGTTCTTGCATAATTGGTGGATGGCTCCCTGATCTACCAAATTCGCAAATGTACTATTCCAGTTCCCATTTGTCAGCGGCCTGGGAAGCCGCGGCGCAAGGGATTTTGCGGTCACCTCTGGAGGTGACCGCAAATTCCCTTTTTTTTTTTGGATTTTCTTAAAAAATTGGCAAAAAATCGTTCACAAAAGTTCTTGCATAATTGGTGGATGGCGCCGTGTGACAAGCCAAGTACCAAATCCCCATTTCTCCAGACGGCCGCCACCTTGTCCCATCTTAAAAGGTACAGCAGTGTGACGTGAACCATGCCCAAAACCTCAAATCGGCCCTTCCCAAATCCACATATTTTGAGGATTTGGGGTCGCCGTGTGAGTATGCCCTGAGAGTGGTGTGGCGACGCCCCACCTCTCGAGACGGGCTCGTTTCCAAGCCTGCAACTTGGACATTTTCAACAGTCCTCGGATGGGATGTCGAATTCTTGCCCGAATGTCGAAAAAGAGAACGCACCAACGCTTGTCCTATCTTCATCCCTGTTTGTCTCTTTTGTACACAGGACTTGTGAGTTCTTCACTTCTACATGCTGTGTGGCGAAGAGGGGTTTTCTGTCGAAAGAGGGAATGTCGAAAATCTCCTGACATGTGGCGAATTGCGTGATGTTTTGACAGTGGCATGGCGAGGGCCTCGCCACACCACTCTTGAAACGGCGAGATTTCTCAAGAGCTGTCAGAAGTTCTCAAGAGTTGTGTTTTCAAGAGTTTTTGGCCCCTTGCCACACAGCACTCTCGAAAGGGCCATGCCCTTGGACACAGGATGAAAAACGACAGTCATGGTAGTGGATAGGTGTCAAACTAGATAGCTTGTTGTAATAAGCGGCGCAGAGTTTAAGCTAAACCTGCTGATGCTGCAGGGATAACTCCCGGTTGAATTGTGAGGTCCCCGGCCTCTCCTCAGTTGTTTTTTTTTTATAAGAAAAAAAACGACAGTCATACAGCTTTGTTTTTTTCGCATGGTGTCAGGATAACGGCCTGACAACTCTTCAAAATGAAAATTGAAAGTCCGTCAAGGGTTCAGCCAAGGACGCTTGGAAACGCACGAGTTGCAGGCAGGCTGGGGTTTCCAATCTTTCAAGAGCCCCTCTTGAAAAAGGGTTTCAAGAGGCACAGTGATTCTGACAGCTCTTGACTGCCCCAAGTGTCAAGAGGCTGTGTGGGGATGCAGCAACTCTTGAAAAAGAGTTTTCAAGAGTGGTGTGGAGAGGCCCTAACTGTGCAAGAACTTTTGTGAACGAATTTTTGCAAATTTTCGAAGAAAAATGCAACAAATGAAAAAGGGCATTTGCGGTCACCTCCAGAGGTGACCGCAAAATCCCTTGCCCTGCGGCTTCCCAGACCGCTGACAAATGGGCACTGGAATAGTACAATTGCGAATTCGGTAGATCCGTGTGACCGGCCTTTTACCCTTTTTTTTGGGATTTTGGGATTATAAGTCCCCGTGTGAGTATGCCCTCAATTTGGTGAATAGGGGACCAACGCCCCGTTTTTTCCTGTTCGAGATCCACCGTCTGGCTCGCCGGCGATTCATTGGGCATTGCTGCGCTACCCATGCCCCTTTTCTTTCCTGCTCGAGATCCACTGCCCGGCCAGCCGCATACCCCTTCTTTTCCTGTTCGAGATCCAACCCCCGGCCGGCCGGCGATTCATTGGGTCTCGATGCACTAAACCTGCCCCTTTTTTTCCTGCGCGAGATCCACTGCTCGCCCAGCCGGCGCCCCAGCAAGGTCCGCAGCGTAACGGCCGCGAGGGGCAAAAAAAAAAACTACTAAGGAAACGAAACAAAATAATGGCAGCCCTCGTCTGGCAATGTTCAACACGCAACGCACCGCGATAAACGGGCAAAAACTCTACATTCGACGGCCCAACGCGATACGATCATCGGCAGAACATTTTACATCGAAAGTCCCAGAAAGGTACCCTTTTTTGTTTCCCTTCTCTTTTCTTTTACTTTCGCAGCCTTTGTACAAAAACGGATTTCGCAGCTTCTGTGCGCCTGGATTTGAGCCCCCTTCCTTCATTAAAAATACAAAAAAATACGAAACAAACCAGAGACGAAAACAGTAGAAAACAGAAACAAAAGAACGTTTGTAACAGGTGGAATTCATGATTGCGTTCATACAGTTTCTTTTCCACTTGACCACGCTTCTTTTCTTTCACTTATTTCGCAGCTTCCGTTCAGTACCTGTTTTGGCCGTATGACCGCCTGGATTCGAATCCCCGTCCTTCAGAAAAGAAAAAAGAAAAAAACACAAACCAGAAGAAAACAGAAACGAAAAGAAAAGAAGAAAGAAAGAACACGACAAAATGGGCAAGCACATCGCACGGACAACCGCAAATCATGAAGCAAATCTTTTCACCGACCGTTCCACGACCAAAAGCCACATGGCACGCCTACCAAACCACATTCACATTGCACGCTCGGAGTCCAAAATCGTGCAACCGAGAACTTGGCCCCAATGCTGGCCTTGCGATGTAAATAGAGTTTTACATCGCACAGCCAAAGATGCCAGTTGATCGAAAGGAAAGAGCCCGCGGCTGGTAAACCTTAGAACATTGTAGGACAACGGATTGTCGATGAATAATTAGCGTCCACAATCCCATACTACACAAGTGGAACACTTGAGTGAAGGCCAGGATCAGGAAGAAAGCAAAAGACAAGGCAAATCCAGCAGCTGAACACATTAGTGAAATTACGTTTCCTACGATACGCACTCAGTCTGTTCTATTGTTGTCTTCCTCGATTCCCCCAACGTAATACACCCTAGGCATGACTGAGTCAAACACAAAACGTAGCTTGATCCATGCATCACAAGGGAGTGTTATGTTAAGGGGAAGAACTTAGATGGAGTATCAATGGACGCTGTCGCATGTGTTTTATGTCACATGTGACAAGAGCCCTCTCGCTGTGAGTTCTTAGTCACCAAGGATCAAACACCAACCTGCCATCGACCACTGCCCATAGAACTGATTCAACTGAATTCTGGTGAACAACCTTCCGAGACAGAGGCAGAAGAAGAGGGGGAAACAAAAAATCATCAAAAATTACTCTCTCTCTCTCTCTCTCTCTCTCTCTCTCTCTCTCTCTCTCTCTCTCTCTCTCTCTCTAAAATTACTCTCTTTGAAATCACGAATTTGGATGTCGGTCACCTTAGCTCCTCCTATGAATTGAGTATGACCTCACACAGAACACACAAAGAAGCCTCGGAGTAACCTGGGAGAAGAGTTCAGAATGATAGGACACAGAGAGGTGGAAGATCAAAAGAAACTGAGAGGAGGACACAATTTTCAAACCAAGCAGAGTAGCTAGTTGTGCACAGCCTCTCTCTCTCTCTCTCTCTCTCTCTCTCTCTCTCTCTCTCTCTCTCTCTCTCTCTCTCTCTCTCTCTCT